TGGTGTCGGGTGACCACCACTCTAAGAATCCTTTGAGGAGGGCGACATTCCTAGCATAAGCAAATTGGGATACATAGATTGCAGCATAAATCCCACACTTCTTCAAAATAGGGGCAAATGTGGAGAGAACGTCATTCAACCAAAAAATCCATATAGGGAATTGCAAATGGGTAGAAATACCGCGGATATTAAAAGAATTATCCCACTTCAATTTTTCATGTTTCATTCTCTTAAGAAGAGTATTAAATTCAGAGCAGTCAAGGTCTTCAGAAAATGGACGGAGGATTGAGACAGGGAATGAACCGATTGATTTGGAGTGCCCTTTCTCGAGAATCTCACAACAGTTTCGAATTCCTGTATAGACCAAGTCTTCGAAAGTCGTATGTAAAGGGATGTAGGGATCCAACTCGGTAGGTGACAATAAAGCAGTGATAGGTTTGTGCCGAATTATTTTCGGACCAAATTTATCCAATACATTCCTCTCGTCACGACGAAGATATTCGAGTGTCTTTTCCATGCTTCCTAAAAAAAAAAAAAGGGTTAGTTGAGGCAAAATGTCCTAATATAAAGAAAGTGACGAAACATTAAAAGAATTATCCCACTTCAGTTTTTCATTCTTCATTCTCTTAAGAAGAGTATTAAATTCGGAGCAGTGAAGGTCTTCAGAAAATGGACGAAGGATTGAGACAAGGAATGGACCAATTGATTTGGAGTGCCCTTTTTCGAGAATCTTACAGCAGTTTCGAATTCCTGTATAGACCAAGTCTTCGAAAGCCGTATGTAAAGGGATGTAGGGGTCCAACTCGATAGGTGACGATAAAGCAGTGATAGGTTTGTGCCGAATTATTTTCGGACAAGATTTATCCAATACATTCCTCTCGTCACGCCGAAGATATTCAAGTGTCTTTTCCATGCTTCCTAAAATAAAAAAATAAAAAAAGAAAGAGGTTAGTTGAGGCAAAATGTCCTAATATAAAGAAAGTGACGAAAGCCCCTTGCCAAGAAATCAAACCATTGGGGTGAAAGACACAATCACTGCCAAGGTTTCAAGCCATTGGGGTGACGGACACAATCATTGCCAAGGTTTCAAGCCGTTGGGGTGACGGACACAATCACTGCCAAGGACTCAAGCCGTTGGGGTGACGGACACAATCACTGCCAAGGTTTCAGGCCATTGGGGTGAAGGACACAATCACTGCCAAGGTTTCAAGCCAATGGGGTGAAGGACACAATCACTGTCAAGGATTCAAGCCGTTGGGGTGAAAAGACACAATCACTGCCAAGGATTCAAGCCGTTGGGGTGACGGACACAATCATTGCCAAGGATTCAAGCCGTTGGGGTGAAGGACACAATCACTGCCAAGGTTTCAAGCCGTTGGGGTTAAGGACACAATCACTGCCAAGGATTCAACCCATTGGAGTGAAGGACACAATCACTGCCAAGGATTCAAGCCATTGGGGTGAAAGGACACAATCACTGCCAAGGTTTCAAGCCATTGGGGTGAAAGGACACAATCACTGCCAAGGATTCATGCCACTCATTGCCATTAGGTTGGAACGGGCAATGATACCTGCAAACAAACTCTAACGCCTTGCGTGTTGCCTGCAGAAGAGATAAAAATTCATGAAATAATTGTTAACCAAAAAAAAAAAAAAAGGAAATTAATCATCATGATTCGTACAATTAAAATTCACTTGCACGAATCACAAGGGGCAAGGCTGGCTGATTCGACTTTTTTTTTAAAAAAGAAATTTGGCCAATGGTACAAAGGGCTGCTACTAATACAAAATAAAATAAAAGGTAGCAAGCTTAAAAAAATAAAATAAAAGGTAGCAAGCTTAAAAAAATAAAAAAAAAATATATATATATATTTAGTAAACAGTTTGAAACTTTGTTTGGCCTATTTAGATTCATGGTCTACAAAAAAGGGTTTAAAAAGAAAAACCTGCTAAACAGTTTGAAAAAAAAAATAAAGCTAGTGTGGGAATAAAAAAAGCAACATGTGTTGGTCTGTTCTTCGAAGAAACAAAAAAAAGGGCCTTTGTGACAAGGACTTTGTTTGGCAAAAGCAGGAAAAGTCTTTGTTTGGGCTCAAGTTTTTTTTAAAAAAATAGCAGTAGCAATACATAGTAATCAAACTGTGACAAAAAGGCAGCAGGTTATACACAAGGTTCATATGAGTTATAGAAAGGTTCATATGGGTTATAAAAAGGTTCATGGAGAAGAAAAATTCTACTGGAAGGTAAAAAAAAAGAGAGCAGATTAAACAGTGACAAAAAGGCAGCAGGTTATACACAAGGTTCATATGGGTTATAAAAAGGTTCATGGAGAAGAAAAATTCTGTTGGAAGGTAAAAAAAAAAGGAGAGCAGAGTAAACTGTGACAAAAAAAAATACACAAGGTTCATAAAAGGTTTATGGAAATTTTCATAGGTTATAAAAAGGTTCATGGAGAAGAAAATTTCTGTTGGAAGGTAAAAAAAAAGAGAGAGCAGATTAAACTGTGAAAAAAAAAAGGGGTCTTTGGGCTAGAAAAAAAAAAACTGCTGGAAAGGCCAGCAGGTTTTTTTTGTTCAAGTAAAAATAAAAATAATAAAATAATAAAAAGAAAAGAGGCTACAACTTTTGTTATGAAATAAGGCAGTAGGTTATTCATCCTTTCAAGAAAGGTCTTTGTTGGGACTACTTGGACTTAGGGTCTAGTAAAAATTTTTGGAAGGGGCTGTCACATGGTGATATACATGCTAAAAACAATATTTTATAGAGAAGAAAGCATACCTCATTTAAAGGAGTTTGAAGAGATTCTTTTGTGTCTTCTTTAAAGTATAAGAACAACTTTTGTTGGAAAAAAATAAGAAAAATAATGGCTGGAAAGTTGCTGGAAATTTTCTGGAAAACAAAAAAAAATCTGCTGGGAGAAACAAAATCTGCAGGAAAAAAAAAAAGGGGCTGCAGGAAAAAATATATGAATAGGTGTTATAAAGCAAAAAATTCTTGCTTAAGAAAGGAGGTAGTGTTCTCTTAAAATACTTCAAACAAGCAAGAGTTTAGGTAGGATTTGAAATACTAAGTAAGAGTTTGTGTAGGATTAGAAATCCTACCAATGCCAATCCATCCTATTCCATTTAGACAAATTCCTAAAATATATATATATATATATATATGTTGTAAAAAAAGTCCTAAAAAAATAATAAGTGGCAAGATGGAGGCCCACAAAAGAAAAGGCCCAATTAAAAATGATGGCCTAGAAAAATCCATGATGGCCTAGAAAAAAATCTGCTGTAAAAAAAAGGGTGGCAAGTTGGAGGCCCACAAAAGAAAAGGCCCAATTAAAAAATAGTGGCCTAGAAAAGGAAAGGTCCATGATGGCCTAAAAAAAATAAAAATAAAAAAATGGTGGCCTAGAAGAAAAAAGATTCATGATGGTCTAGAAAAATCCATGATGGCCTAAAAAAAAAAAAAATCTCTACTGCAAAAAAATGGTGGCAAATTGGATGCCCACAAAAGGAAATGCCCAATTAAATCTTGGACCTTACTCATGACCCTTCAAAAAAAAATAAAAAAAAAGTCAAGTCCATAAGAAGGACCCATGCAACAAAAGTAAAAGGGCCCATGGAAAAAGAGCCATCAAACCAAAAAAAAAAAAAAAAAAAAGGCCAGGGACCAAAACAAAGAAATAATCCCATCAAAGACCTAAAGATCATCCAGATAAAAGTGCCAAATTGTCGTGACTCGCACAGTTAAGAAAATTCACTTCTGCAAGTCACGAGGGGCATTTGTTTGCACATAAATTTTAACTAAATTTATGACACGTATAGAGCCTATGATAGGAAGGTTGTAGATAATCACTTCCTAAAAAAAGATCAACATGATCCGTTGAAGTACATAAATAAAACGACGTTGTATCTCAACGACGTTATTCAAGATGCTCAAGTGACACATGGAGCCTATGAAAGTTGACACCTGTAGAGCCTACAGCAAGGACACCACACAGGATGAAACTCCAAAGATCAATCCGGTTAATCAGATATACGATTAATCAGATAGCGCTATTATTCAAAATTCAAATGGCGCTATCATTCAATTCGAAATTCAAATTAAAGATGAAGCATTCCTATTACCTGATGGCCTTCCATAAATATGAGGGCCATCACACAAGACGGAGGATCAAGAAATCAGAAGTGAAAAGATCAGAGAGAGAGAGAAAGAAATTGAGAGCTAAAGAAGTCGTTACCAAAAAAAAAGAAGAAGAGAAGCTTAAAGAACTGAAGAGCTTACGCTAATGGCGATGAATAGGTAAATGGTTCCAAACCCAAGACTTGTATTTTGTATTCGAGGGTTCAAAGTCCATAATAATTTCAATAAAATATTTATTTTTTCTTAAATTGTCTTTATTTTGTTCTTCATTAATCGGAGGTTTCATTTGTATAAAAATATGTAATTAACGATCTGAAATACAGATCGGAAATAAGAACCTGCTATTCAATAATTAACACTGTTTAGTCCAAAGACTAAACAGTGGACATTTGTAACATAAAATTTTGAAATGTGTTGAAACACTTCATGTTTTAAAATTTGTGTCTACAGTCATGTCTTGTATTTTTTGAAAATTTACATGTCCGCATGTTCATGTCTATGCTTCTTAGAGCAAGAGCAAGGTTGAGGCTAACCTGGGGTACGGATTTGTCGGTTGGTCATAACTTCGCACCCTTCCACCCACCTCATTTCTGCAGGGGACAGTATACCCTTCTCACAATCCTGCTTATAACCTATATAAGTTGTTCTGGCATCCACACATGAGAGTTTAAGTAGGTGACGAGTGTTGAGGCAGTGTTCTTTATATGTTAGCGCCTAGTGGGGATATCTAATGGAAATTCATTTCGTTACATTGAAAACATACTAGATGTATTAGTAAAACATTTTTACTGTCTATTGGAGAGTTTTTCATCAATTCTAACACTTCTGTTATTTTTTGAACTCTACCATCTTCCATTTCACAGGCGATAAGAAAGTTCTTTTTGCAGATAAAGTTTTGAAGTTCACTGGCTCGGGGAAGATGAAACGACGTATTCTTTTAATTACTGATTTTGCCATTTACATGGTTGACCCGGAAACGGATGCACTTAAAAGGCGGATTGCGCTGTCAGCTCTTGAGAAGCTTTGCTTGAGTGAATTAAGTGATAATTTTTTTGCATTTATCATTCCAACCGAGTACGATATACTCATGGCTAGTACTCGAAAAACTGAAATTGTTACTGTGTTAGTAGAAGCTATCAAGAGCACATCCGACTATGAAGTCGAGGTTATTTTCTCCAATAGGTAAATGGATAATGCTATCACTCGTTATGCCTATATGATTAGTTTTATGTGCTTTTCTTTTTTGTTAGCTGGCATGTCACAGCCATTATATATTAAAGGGAAAGTTAGCTATCAAATTATATACACATACATATAATGGCAGAATAATGTTCTCTTTCTGCACAGCCGGTTTAATCAAGTTGTCAAATAGTTGTTCTTGCTGGGCTTATGGGCTTTCCTAATTGAGGCTGGTTCAAAATCTTCAGTGAACCTTTTTGACCTTTGACGTGTTGCTAACTTGAGGTAGTGAGTTCTAGTCCCGCTTTTGTAGACACAAATTTTAAAACATGAAGTGTTTCGACACATTTCAAAATTTTATGTTACAAATGTTCACTGTTTAGTTTTTGGACTAAACAGTGTTGATTATTTGAATAGCAGGTTCCTATTTCCAATCTGTATTTCAGATCGTTAATTACATATTTTATAAATGAAACCCCCGATTAATGAAGAACAAAATAAACAACAAAAGACAATTTAAGAAAAATAAATAAATATTTTATTAAAATTGTTATGGGTTTTGAACCCTCGAATACAAAGTACAATTCTTGGGTTTGGAACCCTTTACCTATTCATCGTCATTCTGCGTCTGTAGCGTAGGCTCTTGAGTTCTTTAGACTTCTTTTCTTCTAGCCCTTGATTTCTTTCTCTCTCTCTGATATTCTCACTTTTGATTTTTTGATCATTGGTCTTGTGTGATGGTCCTCATATTTGTAGAGGGCCATCAGGTGATAAAAATGCCTCATCTTCAATTTGAATTTCAAATTGAATGATAGCGCCATTTGAATTTTGAATAATAGCGCTATCTGATTAATCGTATGTCTGATTAACCGGATTGACCTTTGGGGTTTCATCTTGTATGGTGTCCTTGTTGTAGGCTCTACAGTTGTCATCTTTCGTAGGCTCCACGTGTCACTTGAGCATCTTGAATAGCGTTGTTGAGATACGACGCTGTTTTATTTATGTATTTCAACAGATCATATTGATCCTTTTTAGGAAGTGATTACCTACAACATTCTTATCATAGGCTCTATGTGTGTCATTGATTGTATTTGAATTTAAACATAAATTTGATTGAAATTTATGTGCCAACAGCTTGTTTGGTATGAGTAATTGAGATTGCACTTGTAGGGGCATTAGTTTGGTGCTTTTATTGTACAATTCAATTTTCTAAGTGGTTGGTATTTTGTATTTTTAATTTATATGCTATGGACCTGGATTAATAATGCAAAAACCTACAAGATGTTGTGAAAATTGCTCTTTGGTAGTCTTTATCAACTTGCATAAATGAGTACATGAACGTATCCCTGCATGCCTAAGGATGCCTGCTGTATGCATTTAATTATTCTTAAACATACTCTGCAAACAATTAATTTGTACTGCAAAGCTATTCAAACTGAATTAGACAGGGAAATTATGAAATTAATAGGACAAGGTAGTTATTTGATTTGAACTATGGGATGTACAAGATGGTGCCAGCTTGACCTTTTGGAGGCCCTAAGAAAACTTCTAAGATGGGGCCCTCTATGCTAGGGGTTGAGTAATTTCAGCAGTTTTGAATCAATGGATTTGACGGGTTGAATTTTCGACTGGCCATATCCTAAATTCAAAATGGCTATCCAATTTACATACTATTAGGGTTGGTTTGGAATGTTCTAAAAAAGTACACTTTTTAATTTATTGGCTTATATGGGTTGGGTTTGGGTTGAGTTTGAAGTGATGTGTTAGAGAGGTGATGTGATTTAAATAAGATGATATGACTTAAATAGAATAGTGACTTTTTGACTTTTTGTATTATTTAGGCCTAGTTTGGGAAGACTAAATAAGTGCACTTTTTGACTTTTTATGAAATATGGGTTGGGTTTGGGTTGAGTTTGAAGTGATGTGTTAGAGAGGTGATGTGACTTAAATAAGATGATGTGACTTAAATAGGATAGTGACTTTTTGACTTTTTGTCTTTTTTCAATCATGCCAAACTTGACCTTAGTTTATGTCAAACTAACCCTTAGTCTTTGTAATGTATCTTCATGTAGAAGATAAAAATAATTTTTTAATAAATAAAAGCAGTACTTGAAATAATAATAATAATAATTTAAATTGTCATACTTAAAACTGAATTTTTGTACATAAATCTATATGTACAATAAAATACTTTACATGCACTTGCTTGTGTACAATTGTATTTGAAAATTGGTGTATTCTATTTTCTCTATCCATCTAAAAATTGATCAGTTGCATTTCTTCTATCCATCTAACGCTTATCTACATTCAGCTTCCATTACAATCAATCACCCAAACACAAATTGCAACTTCTATACTTCCACTAGAAAAAATTGGTATTACATTCTATACATGCAATATATACATATACATTATACATAGGGATCTAATATATGAATTGTGGTGAAGGGGGGTGTCAGATTAGTATTTTGGACTTGGATTGGAGGCCTTCCGTTTGATTGAAGCTTAATAAGAACTTTTGGACCTAGTATGAACCTAGGTAAGGGCCCCATTTTTTGAGCCAAAATTGGGGCCCATAAGCGGCTGCTTTGCAAGCCTTTGCTCAGGGAAGGCTCTATGGGGGTGGGCACTCTTTGTTTGATTGTATTTACTGATATATTATAGTTGCTTCGCAGCTGTAGTTCTTAAATTTCTATTTTTTATTTTTTTAAAATTTGGATGGAGCTACTGGCTTTATTTTTTGGGCAAATTGCATTTCAGTAGAGCAGTGGGCATTTTCATGATGGTGTAATTCTACTGTGTGCATGGTGCAAATACATTTATATGTTTGGTGTAACTCTTCCTGTGTGTCAGAATTGCACCCAAAAAAAATTCCATTTGTAATGCAATTGTTTTCCCACTGCTCCATGTATTTGCAATTTTCCCTTATTTTTTTCCTATGTTGCTATAGTTAACTGCATGCTTCTCATGTTTTGCAGCTTTGAGTATAATGCTTCTGCTGATCTGGTGAAGGAAGTTCAATTTGAGGAAGTCGAAGGTCAGTTAAACAATCCCTAGAAAGTATATGGTACCTGATTAGGTGTGGGTTAAATTAGCTTTTGATGTATTTGTGAATTTCAGGTGGTGTTAAAACAAGAATTGTGCGGAAATGAGTTGCGTTTACCACCCAATGTTATGAGGAAGCGAGTTGCCTATTCCTTCCGTATAAAAGGTGATGGATTATTTTCTGGTTTTGAAACCCAGTTGTGATCAGGCATTAAAACACAACAAATAATGTAGCTTATTGTTTTTTATATTTAATTTTTTTCTTTTTTTTTTCCCTTGTACAAACCAAATCTCATGTTGTATCAATTGTGATTACTAAGACTTTCAGTCGATATGAATTGTTTCCAATTGCAGACGTCTTCAGAATGCGACTTTTTTGTATTTGCTTGGTTGTAGAGATAACCAAGTGGTTCGTGCACTCACGCCAATAAAATAAAAAGAAAAGTAGAATCTTAGAAGTGAACGCAAATATTGTTGAGAGCCATCAACATCATCTTGGACTAATGATCTACAAGCTTATCATAAAGTAAACCAAAATGCTGGTATAAGTTACTTTAACAAACATGTTGACTTCAATTAAGTTGATTACATTGTTCTGCATCTGTCTATTTAAAATAACATACATAATGACACTGCCCTTAAAAAATTAATATAAAATACCAACCTAACTTTGACAATAGCTGGATCATGTAGGTAAACTAATATGAGGCACCAATAGTCAAAGAAAAGCAAGATTTAAAGGACTAAAGTAATCCAAACCATGTGCGAATCAATGATCTCCAAAAAAATTATATCACAACTAATTTCCAACAACCCGAATCTCACTGTGGAACAGAAGACGGTCCTATTTCAGCCACTGGTGGTGTCAGTATCGGTGTTGGTGTTGAACCTTCTGATCTAGTTTCAAAGGATGGTCGGTTCCCAGTATTGACCCGTCGGATTTCCTCAACCCTTCTCAGTATATCTGGCATTTTGGGTCGCTGCTCTGGCATCCTAGCAGCACAAGCCAGCCCTATTTGCAACATTTCCACCATCTCTTCCTCTATATTTGGATACTTCAAAAGCTCTAAATCAAATACTTCAGCAGTCCACTCTTCTCTAACCACAGAATTAACCCATCTTACCAAGTGCACAACCTCATCGCCCCCTGTGGCGTGGATAGGAGACTTGCCAGTGAGAAGTTCGAGCAGCAAGACTCCAAAACTGTACATATCAGATGCATGGGATACTTTGCGGGTGTCTGTTACTTCAGGGGCTTTGTACCCTGCAGTTCGCATGACTGTTGGGGTCATTGGGCTCATCAATGTCGCCAAACCAAGATCAGACAAGCAACCGTAATGTTGGGAGTTCAGGAATATGTTTGAAGCTTTTATGTTTCCATGAACAAGCTTCCCACCATTTTGTGTGTGGATATGAGCAATGCCTCTTGCTGCACCAATTGCAATCTTTAGTCGGGTTTCCCAATCAAGAGGAGTCCGGTCTTCACCTCTTTTAGCTGCAATTTTTAGGGTACATTAGAACATGGCTGGCTCTATAACAGAAATTATTCTAATATACTTGGGCTAAAATCTAATTTAGGTTGAATTGCATCTCACTTCTTATGCATGAATATCTAAGCTGAAAAAATGCACACACGCACAAGCACAAAAAGAACCTAAATCCATGTAACTTATAACATTTGTCAATCAAAGTCTGGGTTTCGTAAGATACATCTTAATTTAATATCAATAAATGAAGTTGCACAATCAATTTGAAGTAGCTTACATGCACCCTCTATTTCAACAATCTTTATACTAGTTACTCTTTTAAATTAACACATCAATGATATCTCATAAATCATGGTGCATTTCATGACTCCAAGGATCAGAGACACAAGGAATGATGGAAATCGAATAATGACAGAAGATCTTGTTCAAACGAACTGTGCCATGAGCCAGTACTTTTATTTTCTAGGAGAGTGATGATACATATAGAGAGACCAATCAGATTAGCCCAAGTACAGACAATATAATTCATACCCATAGGGAAGTTAGATAATCTAAAACATACAAGAAGATCAGAAAAAGCCTAACCCTGCATCTCAATTTTTTGGGAATCCAGGAAAGCACTTAGAGCAACAATTTATATTAAAATCACCAAGGACTATGTTCCTGCTTCTGTAGTGTGAATGAATTGAATTCATGAAAGTGAGGGTATAAAACAAGAAGAATGAAAATTGTTTAACATACCGTGTAACAGTGCAGACACGCTCCCTTGACTATAGTAGTCATACACCATGAGCTTTTCATCCTTGGAATAGTAATAGGCTCTTAACGCAGCGATATTTTCATGCCTAATACTTCCAACAACTTCCATCTGCTGCTCAAAATCTCTCTTTGCTATGCTCCCTTCCTTCAACCTCTTCACCACTAACGTCATTGTATCTTCCAATGCAGCCTTATACGCTATCCCAAATGTCCCCTTCCCAAGCACCTCAGCAGAAGCCCTCAACAAATCTTCCAGGTCAAACGCAAGACTACAGCCCTCAAAGAATACAAGCTTTCCATTCCCATCTCGACTCCCGGAAATTGCTTTCTTTGCAGACACTTCTTTCTTCTGTGATTTGGCTGAGACCCCTTTTTCACCATCTTTCTTTGAGCGGCAGACAATCATCAGGAAAGCAAGTACCACAAATCCCAGAGCGCAACCGCCAATTATGATTCCCAGTATTGCAGGTTCACTAAGTTTTGTTGATTTCTTTGATGGTTGAGCATTGGGTGGAAGTACAGGAGGGGATGAATTTCCAGCAGAAAGATTGCTACCTAAGAATGCCCAACTTGGAAATCTTTGAAGAGATCGAGGTACAGTACCGGTGAGATTATTGTTGGATAGATCGACCACTTGCAGGCTAGGGAGATTCAAGTCGGGGAGTTCACCAGAAAGCGAGTTGTTAGCAAGATTTAGAGCTGTGAGGTGAGTTAAATTTGCAATTGAAGAAGGGATACTACCAGTGAAACCATTGTTGGATAAATTGATAATTGAGAGACTTTTCCAAGCCGAGAAATCCGAAGGCAAAGGGCCAAAGAAATTATTGAATTGAAGATAGAGGCCAGTCAAGTTTCCAAGTTCGGAAAAATCAGAAGGGAAAGGACCTGATATCCCGTTGGATCTTAGACTCAAGATCTGAAGTTCTGGTAATCTGCTAATAGTGTTGGGGGGAATTGGACCATGAAAGCCGAATCCAGGCAATCGAATAGCTATAACCCTTGATTCATCGTGATTGCATGTCACTCCAGTCCAGTTAACACAGACTGAAGAATTCTCATCCCAGTTGAGAGGGTGTAAGTAAGAAATGTTGTGTATGAAATTAAGCAAGGCTTGTTTATCTTCAATCGGCTCAGAATTCACCAGCAGGAAAATAGTTCCTAGCAAGAAAATTGCTGAGAAAATGAACTTGATACCCATATCTGTTCACTCTGTCAATAATCGTAGAGCTCACACACAGAGAGTCCCCTTAATGGACTGAATGTTTTTACAAGCTCTTTCTCATCTAATCAAGAAAAATCAAAATTAGAATTAGACTCTAAAAAATGAAATGCTTACAACCAGTATAAACTTATCATAGATACGCTTCTCATTCACAATATAGCCATTTCTGGAATTTTTTGCATTAAGATTATATTTAATTCAACCGTTTTGGTCAAAAGTAAACATATATATAAGAAAATAGAAATGGGAGTTTAATTTCCACCGTCTTTTACTGACTTGTGTCTTTCTATCCTCTGTTTGGCTTGTGAGAAACGGAAGGAAATGAAAAGAAAATTTGGCACTATATATATATATATATATTTACAATATGTGATGTAAATCAGATATAGGTGTTGTATGAGAGGTCGTAAACAGGAAAATAACTAAGATTCAAAGTCTCAATCTATTTTCCCTCTTTCCTACCTTTTCTCAGATACCAAACAGAGCCTAATGAAATAAAAACTAAAAGTTGGACAAGTAAAAGATTGAACTCACATTAATTTACACAGATCGCATGGAAAACAACTCTTCTCCGTCCCGAACTTATGAGCGCTCTCTTTCTCTCACTCACAAGGCACCGACGAATTCACATAATTCGCAATGAATGGCAACTAAAAGGGCAGGTCCTGAAAATTCAACAAAACGACAGGTACATTACAAGCTTCTGAATTCAGAAACACTTAAGAGAGAGAGAGAGAGAGAGGTTGATGGTGGGGATGATGATGATGATAATGAGGAAGAGGGTTGTGTCAACTGTTTTTGCTTGAGGAAGCAGAAATTAGATAATAACAATGATTGAAAGTGTTTTGAGAAATGAGAGAGAGAGAGAGAGAGAGAGAGAGAGAGAGAGAGAGGTGGTGTTGTTAATAGAGTTGTTGAGTTGGGTTGTGGGGAGCGAGAAGGGGAAGGGACCGCATGTGCAGAGTGCAGACAAAGCGGAACTACTAGTACATTATTACTTCTTACTACACCCTCCCTTTTAACAGAATTCAAAGTAAGAGACAGAGAGAAGGACAGCTGTGGATGGCCTAACTGAGGAGTTTTAGAGTTAATTTGCCAAGTGTGAAGTTTTCTTCTTGAGTAATGCTATACTTATCTAATTTTGATTCGCTCGGCTCATTTGGATTTATGCATGTCAATTGTTTAGCCGTTTATTTGAGAATGAAGTGTCAAACGTGTGCTATATTTATCTAATTTTGATTCGCTCGACTCATTTGGATTTATGCATGTCAATTGTTTAGCCGTTTATTTGAGAATGAAGTGTCAAACGTGATTGATAAAAGTGATAATTACAGCTGATAATGATTGTACCGATTGTTCGGCTTTTAAAATTTGATGATTTGGATGAACTTAAATTTGGTGTATCAATCATTTCTTTTTCCTTATTATGAAAAAATTGTATAAAAATAGACATGATACGATTAAAATAAGTCAATAAATCAATAAATTGATTTTTTTTACCCTAAACTTCTTTATAAGTTGATTTTTTTTAATTATAATAAGGTTAAAGATATGAGAAAGGTTATGGTACACCTTTTGTACATACTTTTAAAATGATGTGTATTATACGCACCTATAATTATTATTAAAAAGAAATATAAAAAAATAGTATAATTTCATACTTTCTGAGTTATAATTTCAAAAAAAAAAAAAAATCAACATTACAAGAGGCATAACCAAATATTTAAAAATAATATCATAACTTAGAAAAATTTTTTTGCCATAATTAAAAAAAATTAAGTAACTAAAGTAGATTGTAAAGTTCTCCTAATGATATACAAGCCCGACCGATCTTCAAATCGGTGTCCTGAATATTATATTGACCCTGTTTGGTGGAGCTGTGGGAAAGTGCTTATAGCTTATGTCTAAACAGCTTATAGCTTATAACTATGAACATAAGCTGATTTCTAACTTATAAATTAAGCATATCCAGCCCCACTCAAAGAATAAGCTGATTTCTGACTTTCAAAAAGCAATTAGTTATAAGTTATAAGCTAAACCAAACACATCAAAATAGCTTAAATTAAGCTAAAAGCTAAAATAAATTGTTTTTAAGTTCTACCAAATAGGCACATCGTGTAATTTGTTATGGGTATCTAAATTTATTGTTTTAATTTTCAGGTCCTTCCACCCAACTCTTTCATAATTTTTAATTTATTTTTTTAATCAGTTAACACATAAATCAAATACATAATGAATATAAAATAAAATGAATAGATAATGAATATAAAATAAAATAAAAAATATTGATGGGCTTTAGTTTGAAAAAATATTTTTGGAAACTTACATGTAAGTTTTAGTAAGTGAACTTATTATTCAATAAGTTCTATGAGAATTTGTGACATTTTTCATCAATTATTATTAAAAAATGTCACTAATTGTTAACTTTCAACAATAATTTAAAAATTTTATCCCAAAAAATAACTAATGATAAGTTTAAGCTACAATTTATGAAAATCGTGACAAAAAAAAGTCACTAACTATTAATTTTTAGCGTATATAAAAAATCGTCATAAAAAAAATAAAATTTAACGATGATTTTATTAGGGCATGTTTGTTTGGACAGACTGGATAAAGGGAAATTGTAATACACTAGACTGTTAGCCATGGGATATATTATCCCCGAATTATGTGGTTGGACTAAATGTGTATCCTATGTTTGTTTAATCATGAGATTAAATGTCTAGATTAGACTATGTTATTGAATCTAATATTTGTTTGAAATATTATGGAGAAGGATAAAAGCTCAAAAGACTATTTTGTCCTTTTGAATTATTTACTAAATAATAAGAATATTAAATTTGAATTATAAATTTTATTTAATTTTTTTATTAGAACTTTTAAAAAAATTAAAAAAATAGAATATTAATAAAAATTACATAAATTTATTTTAATTTGTAGTTAAGATTTTTAAATTTTATTTTACGTTTGTAAGTATAATTAATACCATTTGGAACTAAAATAGCCCCCAACCCAATCCAACCCAACCCAATCCAACCATTCTTCTCAAACGAGTGCTTAATAATCATGGTATACATGCATGGAAATAATAATATATAAAAAGAGTACGATTATCGATCAATCTAACTTTTTTTTTATGAATAATATTCACATCATACAAAATAAATTATTCAAATAATCAAAACAAAACTCGTAAATCACTGAGAGCCCTTAAATTTTGTTGAAGTTATCTCTAAGGGAATAGTTAAAAAATGCTTGTTAGGCATTTTAGCCAATGTAATTCTAATTTTGAACTTCAATAGACTGGCTATTGGGTTAGCTACTTTACCATCTTATTTTTTTTGTGGCTACAATTGAAGAGTCCCAGAGGCTCTCCAAACAATTATGTATGTATATATTTTAGATTTTTGTATATTTATGTCTTGGATTTGAGATTTTATATTATATATATATATATATGTGTGTGTGTGTGTGTGTGTGTGTGTGTTTTTGTGTGTATGTAGCAATTTTATATGTTCTTTCAATTCTGTTTGATGAGTTACAGAATAACTTATTTTGTATTTTGTATTTTGTATTTTGTATTTTTTTTTTCCTCATTCTACAGGCTTTGTATGTTTGTATGGGTAAATTTATTATTATTGCAAATTTATATTAGTAGAATATCAACAATTAGTATTTTTTTATTTTAAAAATTAATTAAGTTAGTTTAAATGATTAGCTAAAATAAAGAGCGTGGTTGGAGAACACAATAGCTAAAGTAATTAGGTAAAATAAAGAGTGTATTTTTTTTGTACTATAACTAGTGAAAAGTAGAGAGTATGGTTGGAGTTACTCTTAGTCTGGATGGACTATTAATCCTATCTCATGCCTGAATCCTTCAAAACAAATGCCACCTAAGTTCAACTACTAGGATCTATGGGTAGTTTACTACCCGTATACATTGGGATTATTTGGTATAATTTATTTGAGTTTTTTTATAATTTTTGTTATATTTATTTTAAGAGTCTATATCAAATTATTTGGTAAATTTTTTTTCTTACAACTTATTAGATAAAATAAGTTAAATAAAAAAAAAAATTATCTACGTTAAAAAAAGAAATAAATTAAGGGGGATGCACCAATAAATCCCAAATTAATAACTTATGCACTGTTTAGTCCTAAAAGTTTTCTTATAGACTGAAAGGTCCCATTACAATGTTAATAACATCAGATACAATGTTAATAACATCAGAGTCATGTTACAAATATTGGATTTCAAACATCTAATGTTCATCAAATTTCAATAATGTTTGAAAATATAGGATGAAAGACATCTAATGTTCATCAGATTTCAATAAATTTTCAAATTATGGAATGAAACATCAGATCATTTACATCATTCACATCATGTCGATGTAAAAATGGGAGTAAATGGAGCATAAGAAAACTTTTAGGACTAAATGGTTCAACGTTTCAAAAACTAGGAGTTATGGGTAAATTTTCCATAAATTAATTTCTACTTTTTATTTTTAAATTTTAACTTACCATAAATTGTACCAAACAAATCAATTGTGCCCAATTCTCTCACTAATCTGTATTCTTAGATTTTTACTTTTTAATTAGTACTTAGAAGCAGCCAGGGAGGGTAGTCAGCTCCAACAAAAACTTGATTTGTCAACAGAACACATCCCAATTAATTATATCACCCCTTTGTTTAATTCCACTGGCAGAGAGGCTTGATTCATTTTACACTCTCAGCGTTCGTCTGGCATGCTAAAGTTTTTGAATTTTTGACTATTTTAATCATAAAAAAATAAAATAGAATTTTTATATAATAAAATAAAATATTACATTTAAATCATAATTATTTTTTTTTTCAAAATTTAAAAAAGTCAAAAAAACTATCTTAAACGAGACTTTTTAGCCTTAGGCTAAAATAGTCAAAAAAATCAAAAAGTTCAAAAGTCAACCTACATCCCAAACGAACCCTCAAAATGTAGAGTTGACGCGAAATGCCTTTCCTAATATAAAGTTATTTACTATTTATTACTTGCGGCATTATAACAACTGAATTTTTCTATTTATTTTATATAGATTTCATACAAACAAGGATAAATTATGATTTTTTATTTTATTTTATTTTAGTCTTTATAATTTGATTCAAATTTCATTTTGTCTCTGTAATTTTAATTTGAGTGATTTAATTTCTCTACTTTGGGACTTGAAGAGAATGCCATCTGTACACGGATGGGATGGGTTTTGTTTGTGCAAACGTTGCTAACTATTTGCATCAAGTTTGTTGGTTTGTTATCGGGTTGAATGTAACAATAACGACCTAGTTGACATCGTTTCTTTGTTTATATTTTCTGGAATGTATATGGATGATTGTATAATCCTTTCTTGGTTTATATTTTTTGGCAATGTATATGGATGATTGTAAAATTTGTTATGAATGATTGGTTGAAGTTAATTATTATGGATGATTTTTTTTTATATTTTTAGGCATTATGAATGATTGTATAATTTGTTATGAATGATTAGTTGAGGTTAATTGTTATGAATGGTGTTTATAGGTTGTGGGAGTGATTTTTTTTAATGGTATGCTTTTTAATTATAAACTTTGGGTGTTGAATTTTGACCTTATAATCAAATCAAATTTGTTCCCGACATCCTAAGAACAAAGTCGTAGAGCATGTTCAAGAATAGAGTAGTCCAACATTTGCACAGAAAATAAAAAAGACCGTGGCTCGTCCATCCAGGGACACTCTGACGATTAAGTCAGTCAAACAATTTTCCAAATATCTCGGCTCAAGTAAGCAAATAACTCTCAAATAAAGTGTACCGTAGACCCACGGGGTGTCTATCTTTTATAATCATCAGTGCCTTACTTCCTTAAAAGTCTCACCTCATAGGACTCTTATCCCTTCTAGGATATCACTTATCAAAGACTTCTCCAATTTAGAATAGGATTAACTCTCTCAAGAGTCCTAACCTATCCAAATA